GCCTTGGGCTCCGAGGTGCCAGCTCCAGGCTTTGCAGGGACCAGCAGTAGCAAAGCCGGGCTATTAACACACCCCAGTTAATTCTCGGCGGGAGCTTTTACTAGGTGGGACGTGTGGAGGGAGGAAACATCTTTAAACCGTGGGCTCCAGAGGGTGGGGCACGAGCTCTCACACGGAGGCCAGAGCACACATAAAATATGGCAGAATCTTCAAGACGCACAAGCGGGCGGAAACAGGGCGCCTGGGCCCAGGACAGGTTGGGGGGTATTGGAAAGAGTCTAGAAGGCTTCCCCAACGTTGCTTCTTTTCGGACTCTCACTGAGCAGATGGGAGTCGAACTTCCCTTTGAGAAAGATGAGAATAAAACGGACACTTCTGCACTTGTGTCACTTTGAGGAGGCGGGGAGGCAAAGGTGAAAATATGCAAGACAATGGCCTGTGGCAGGAGCTCCCCTGGTGGCTCGGCGGGCTGGGGCTGGGCCCCGTGGCAGCCCTGCTCACCTCCGGCTCCCACCGGCTCCAGAAGCACCTTGCGATCCCGGGACCGTGCGATCCCCCGGGACCGGTTCTCGCGGAGTAGACCAGGGGGTGAGAGCTCCGGCCTCTTGCATCTACTCCCAAGCCAAGAAGCGTTGCAATAAATTGTACAACGCTTTGAACAACTCACGGGTAAGGCATGAAAAATCTCGTTAACTGAGAATATAGGATTTTTATATCATAAAAAACAAAATCGTAATTTAGCTGCCAACTTTTGGGCAAGAATACAGCAGATTTTGTCGTAGGATAATGGAAGTGCCCCTTCATAGCCGCCACGACTACTTCTTTAATTGCTCTACTTTATGAAGTGGTGAGGACAAAAGATAACCCGATTTGGGAAACGCTTTGTAAAAAAGAAAAAAAAACTGAAGTCATTACTTTCTCCAGTTACTCCTATTTCTCCCCATCCCCCATCTTTTTTTTTTTTAAGTAGAAAAGAAAAAAAAATGCCCAACGGATTAGAAAGAGAACGGAAAACCACAGACTCATCTACAAACAACTCCCATTAGCAAATCTGTGGATATTCTTGACCAAAGGGTGAATCCAGCCGGCACATTTAGAGAAACAGCTCCTCCCTTGGAGGAAACAAACCTGGATCTCTTTTCTGACTTCACTCCCCAGGCCTTTTTTTGGGCGGGGGGTGGCGGTGGCAGGGGGCAGTCATGGTGCAGAATCCATGGGTGAGTAGGCCGGGGAAAGAAAATGAGGCTTTCTATGTTATTTCTGTATCGGTTTTTGGTATTATAGAGGAGTAAAGAAGTTTTTGTGTGGTGGTTTTTCATTGATCAGTCACTCTGAGCTAATGTAATTATCCTCATCAATAGGAGGCTGCAGAGAGAATCATTATGCGGGTGACATTGATAAATGATCGCCCAGGAACGGCCCTCTCGCGGGCAACCCCCACATCTGACCCTCCCACACACACAATGTAGTCATAGAAACACCTAGAGACCCCCAGCTCCGCTGCTGCGGAAGAGGCAAGGGAGGGAAGAAAAGCCTGGGGCGGCTGGGGCTGGGGGTGGGGGTGGGGGTGAAGGGGCACGGCGGGTCCCAGAAGGGGGTGAAGGGGACGCGGGAGGGACCCCAAGCAGCTCCAGCAATGGGGGCTGGACGGTTGGGGACTTGGGGGCGGGAGTAGTTAGTGGAGGGAAGCATCCCCCACCCCCCAGCCACGAAGCTCAGAACAAAGTGCAAACCGGTGCTGCAGACCGACCCTTTGCGCCACACCTTTGCCCATGTGTGCGACCTCCCCACCAACAACCCATCTCATGTTTGCCACGACACACGTTCAATTAGGTGTCTCCAGAGGAGTTACATAATTAGGTCACAAAACTTGCAGGCAGGCATCTTTCCCACACAAGTTCTCACTCAAAACAAAAAAGTCTCCCCCCCCCCCCATAGCAAACAAACCAAATCCATCAGAAATGCAACAAAGGCACCAGCTGGGCGCCTCGCTCCCCTCCAACGGAGCCCCAGTTGTTTACTGGGTGACCCCCTCCTCCCTCACCACCTCCCCATCTAGCACCTCTGAATAATTTTACAATGGTTCTTGTCTGGGAGGGGGGCTAAAAATGGCAGGAAAAAAAGAATCCCCTCCGAATCCCCACGTTCTTATTTTTCCACTGTTTTATTTAAGCCAATGGTAAAGTATTCGGAGCAGTAATTGATTCATAATGATCCATAAATCGATGTCGGAAAGCGGGGGGTAGCGGTGGAGGTGGACGAAGAGTAAGGGGGTGGGTGGGGGTGATGCTGTTTATTTATTTTATTTCTAAAGCTTCAACTAAAGTAGCTTTGACACCATTGGGGCTGGAGGGGAGGAGCTGCTGGGCTCTGCCGGATCATCCATCATCCTTGTCACCCACAGTCTGCCCGGAGGAGCCGTAGACGCAATCTCCCTTCTGTCTCTACACCGAAACTATTAATATTAAAACCTCCCTTCAAACGCTGCCCTGACCGTCTCCATTCTCATCACTCTCAGACCCGCGCCTGCCCCTGTGCAGCACCTGCCGCCCAGCCCGCGCCCGGACCCACCCGGCAGACGGTGGAGGGCTCAGGCGCCTTGCGCGACGCCCTGCGTCACGCAGGCAACCAGAAATGTTTGGTCCAGGGCGCATTTGTTGGACTTGGTGCGAACAGCACGCACACCCCGGTTCTCTGTAAAGACCCCCCACCCTCCCCAAGCGAAGGCAGGTGAAGAGCAGCTTGGCCCTGGGCTCCTCCCAGGCCCCCAGCCGCATGTTTGCGCCCTTGCTGCTCGCTGGGAGAGGCGGTGGCAGCAAAGCCAGGGCCCCTTTCGGCTCGTCCAGACACCCCAACAGCGGCCCTTCTGCCAAGGAGCTATTCCAGGGAGGAGGTCCAGGCTTCTTATCAAAAGGTTGGCCTGCAAGACTAATGGGAAACTTGTGGAGGATTCCCCGGCCATCCCTTTGAAGGAAGGTCCCTCCTTTGACAGCTGCTAGAGACATTAGCCACGTTTTCCTCCGCAGATTTGCTCTAGGTTAACAGGCCCGAGGGGGCGGGAGGCGCGAACTGGCCAGCCTAAGTAGACTGAGCCTGGTCCCGGGGTACCGGAGTTGCCGACCTGGGGGCCTGGAGGGAGACTGGCACACCGGTGATGGGCTTTCCTGGCCTTGCCTTTCCTTCCTTTAAAATGTGGCTTCTTGATCAATTCCCAACCCTCAACAGATGGCGACTGCAGTTTTCTCAGAATTTCTTAAAGAAAGGGAAACCTTTGGAATTTCTGCTTTTGCTTTTTCCATATAAATAGTGTTTTTATATTACTCTTGTTTTGGAGAACATAAGCAATTTTATTCAGACTACAGTATTTCCTTTAACACTATATGGTTGTCAAAACACCATCCCCAGTTTCTTTGCTTTTGACAGCTGAGTCTTTCTTAAATATACCCAAATCGGAACTCTTTATACTAAATAGTAAACCCGAGATAGGAGCAAGTGCCTTCCGAGGTGGTATAAAAAAGCATCATAAAAATTGGACAAATCTATCATCTCTCTTAGCATGGGGTGGGGGTTGGGGAGCAAGAAAATGCAAACGTAAAGTCTCATCATTCATCTGCAGACACTTAGAATTGCAGCTAGCATGATGGGATGTGGATCTGAGGAAGACGCCAAGCCTGAAGTGGCTTCACTTATGGAACCCAGAGAGCACGCTCTGGGTTCTAATCTGCAACGAAATAACTTCTTAAACCACTTCCTAAGCCAATTGCCCAGGAAACCCTTCAAGCACTGACTTGACTTGGAAGAGCTTTCCAAAAAAGAAATTCGACCGATGTGAGTTAATTAAACCGGGAACTAGTTAGTTTACATAAATGCATTTAAGGAAAAAATATGTAAATATTTAAATCTTACAAAAAGACTCCTTGTAAAATAGGATGTCAAAAATGAGAGAAAGCTGTTACTTTTTCAAGTGGCTCAGGAATTTCTCTTCATGAATTAGTTTGTGTCAGAAATGTCTTTCCATGTTGAAACAGCAGCACACTATTCAAACATGAATATTCCAAAAAATTCTACCTAAATCTAATCCAACACAACCCATTTTGTTTAGACAGCATTAATGAAAGTTCTATAAAAATAAAGTAAAAAGAACCCCCAAATAAAAACTACAACTATAGATTTCTTAAAGTTAATGAACAAGTTGACTGCAAATATCTAGTGGACTTCTATGTTTAGAAAAGACGGTGTCCTGAATGTTAATAGTTAGGAGGTACAAAGTTCCGGGAGAGTGTTTATTTGAAAAGTTAAGAGGGTGTGCAGATGCCTCCACTCTTTCTTCCTACGCTTTGCAGACATTAGCAGACATCATTCAGGCAATATTGACAAGCTCATAGAAAAAATTTCCAGGAATGTTGAAGTTTTTGAAAACGGCTTCATATTGCCTGCTCTTCCCCCTTAAGTTGTCACCAAATCACAGCAGCCTCCCTACACATGAAGGTGTGTCTGAAATTAAGACGTCATAATTTATATCCAGTATTTTCAAACTCAGGATTTCAAACTCCATAGAAGTAATTATCTACCAACAGCTATATGCAAATTTAAAGTTACATATTCAACAGTATTTTTGTAAGACAGGAAAAACAGGCAGATGAGTAATTTGAGCACAGATGTTACTTATGTGGTAAAATTAAAACTGAAAGGACCTCTGACAGGATGACCATTAAAAGCTTTATCTAAAAGTTTTCTAAAATATCATGCATTTAAAAAGATGTTGGGCATACTAAAGGTACTAAAGGTAATTGTCCGACGTGGCTCAAGATACAGGTAATTTCATACCTTCAGACGCTCCCGCTGGTGGAATGTGTAGGCCAGACATACACTGACAGGCTACGGATGAGCACCTTAACATTGTTGGCAAGTCTAGCATGGGCTCAATGTCTGGGGGGCAAAGACTTAAGAGGTCCACACCCTTGCTTTAAAGAGTGATAACACAAAAGCCTAACAAAAAATCAAAAATGAAATATTTATTACCGCATTTTGTGACTTAACACCTTTGTCTTTTTAACATAACGTCACAGTCCTCATACAAGTATTTTAATGTAAATTTGACAAAGCTTAAAGGTAACAGCATTTTCTTCTAGTGAGGAACACGTGCTGAGAAAAGAAGAATTCATGGACATACAATACCAATTCCACAGCAGATCTGATACTAGCAAAAACATTCTTTTTTTTTTTTCAATTGAGGTAAACACATAGAATATCTAACATGAAACAATTAATAGACTGAACTCTGTACGCAGTTGGTTATTCTCCCGCTCCTTTTTCTCCCCCAGGCTTCGAGTTGCTGATAAAGTCCCAGTTAACGGTGCAGTGACCATGAATAGCATTTTTGTGTTGAGGAAAGCTGCCCGACTTAAGACTGTCCAGAGCCCAGGCGCAGAACTGGAAAGGAGCTCCGTTCTGTCTTTGAAACTTCATTGGCAAGCTCTTGGAAGAAGAGACCCCCAAAATAAGAGTTGGCTTATGAAGCACAAACTGTAAAGATCTGTTTGAAACTAAAGGACACATTTATGGAGGAACAAAGGCCGGGCTTGAAAACACATTCTTGAAGCTGGAGGTTGAGGGATGAGGTTCAGTCAAATGTCCAGCATGGTCTCCAGCGTGGTTCTTTTCTCATTGGCCCAACAGTTTTAAAATATACCACAGTCTCTCCTGGATAGTGAATTCACTGATGAACCAACACAGTCATTCTTTTGGGAACAACACACATAGTGTGGAAAACAAGGATATATTTTTTTTTCTCTTCTAAAACTATTTGAGGCAACATAACGGAGTGAATCAACAGAAATGTACAAGTTTAACTTAGTTCCTATGTTTATACTACAGTAGTTATAACTCTCGGAGTCTTTTTTTTTTTTTTCCAGAGGATCTTGACATGGACAGCATTGTCTGAGTGAGCCCATGATTTCACATTTGTGGTGTTCTCGCATTGGTCCTCTGTTACTTGATGAAAAATGGCAAAAGTAAAAAATAATCACAGCTGTCTGGAATCTCATATGAAGTGTCAACATCTGGTCAAAGTTCAAAAAGTCTTAAAATAGTTTTTGCGTGTGTTTCCTTTTCCCTTGAGTTCTCTTATACTACTGGGCATGAATGTCCATGACCTGTCCGCCAACACTGGGATCTACAGAATTTAACATTGTGGGGCTCTGTGCTGACATAGTCATTCCAGGATGGGTAGGGGGTCCTCCGTGCATCATCATAGCTGGGTGGTGGGGATGGCTTGGCAAATATGAATGCATTGGGGGTCCATGTCTTAATTGAGTAGGGTGTGGGGTCATCTGGGGAGGAGTGTAGCTTGGCTGTGCCATACTCATTCCCATAGGACCACCCTGAGAAACGTAGTCCCCTGGCATGCTCTGCAAACCTGAAAACAGAGAAAGAAAGCAGGTCAAATTCCTAAACATTTTTATACTTTACCCATCAAAGATGAAAAGAAAAAAAAAACAACAGACACTGCAAATCTTATATCTAAATTTAGCTGCAGATTCTTGCCAATGTTTGCAGACATTCAAATTGTAGTTTGCATTTAATTTCATCGCACAGCAGTATAATGCAACACAACAGAACTAAATATTTAATGCAACTAAATGTCATAAAGTGGAACTGTTTTTCAAAATGGTATTCAGTACATTTCTTTGATAAATGCAATAAGAATATAAATTCTGAGTCTAGTTTCATCAGTTAACTGTTGATACATCATGCATTTTCTTTGCATTTATAGATATGGACAAAAATTACAGATGCTAAAACAGAATAAAATTGACACCTCATATCTGTGGTTCTTCATAAAAATTTATTACACAAAACATTACGGTATATTCATTCTGGAGGGATTAGCATTTGTGTGTATTTAAAATGAAGACTTCCTTTTGAATTAGGCTTTCTTACAGCAGTACACCCAGAAGATCAGATAGGTCAAAGGTAAGAAGTCAATATAAGGTCATATGACATACCCAATAGCTGATTCCTGAAATCTCCCCAAATAGCACCTTGATATTAGGAGTAAAGTGTATTATGCGTAGACATTCTACATTAAGAAACAGAACCTGAAGCTGTGAGTGAAGCCAGAAGAAGTCAGCAACTGAAGCATTTGGATTGCTCTGGCAAGTTACCTGTTCACTGAATGAAGGTTATATTGTATTTACTGTTGCACATGCCCAGAGCTAAAAGGACAGCTTTATTCACCTCTATTTAACCTCCAGCACATACAGTTGAAAAGCTGAACAGATGTTTTTGACACCGTAAACTGGTAATCTAAGGGCTACGATGCTGCAGTCATTTCGTTAAGTAGATCCGCAGTCCATTATTAACAGAAGTGGCAAAACCATCTAAAGACAATAACAGCCTGCATAGTCCCAGCTCTGTTTATTCTACCACAGCAGCCTGCTCAATGGATGATGATAATTAAGTACCAAATATACCATATTGTGTGGCTGCATAATCAAATCAAGAGAGGATAATATTCTTCTGTATTAAGCTATTAATGTAATTGGTCATGAAGCATAAAATATGTTATGTAATTAAATAGGCTAGAAATTATATGGCCTATATTAAGAATTATCCAAGCTGAGCAAATGTTTTCTCTATAGCTGTTTTAGGGAACATTGCTTTCTACATTTTTTGACTGCATTAGCAAAGGAAGGAAGGAAGGAAAATTGGCTTCATCAATGGTGTGCCATGATGACCCCCTGAGATCTCATATAAAATGTTGGCCTCTATTTACATATAGAGAATGATTTAATCAAGGTATGTGTTGTTATATTCGGCCTCATTAAACAGGGAAGTTTCAATGTTATATGAATTTTTTTATGCTCTGGTGTCTTCTGCAAAGAATCTATCTTGCTGGCCGACTCTGCATTTTTTTCAGATGTCAAAAACACTCGAAGCTTTAACGTTTAATGGGTTTCTTAATCCAACTGCAGCCATTCAGCTTCAGTGAAAAATCCATTCCTTCATATTCAGTTGCTCCTAAATGTCTTTCCCTTTAAATTTATTGACTGACTTTCCTGTCTTTCTGTCTCATGTCGAAAGTCACTAGGCACATGTAAAAAATAATCAAAACACACCGACTCCCTAGTGAAGAATCAATGGTGTCACTGCTGTCATGTATCTAGACTAGGCATAATGAACTGCAGCATTTCATCTTTGCATATAAGATAATTTGGGCATCAATCGTATTCTGACAGATTTATGTCACTCAAAGGACAGTTCTACTTTTCCTTTTTTTTTATCGCTTCATTGAAGCTTGCTTAATTTCTCTCAGTCAACTGGTGCCCCCAAGACGTTATTTTTATTCTTAAATGTCCAATATCTGTCTGATGTCTGTGTTTGTGCACACTGGGGCCACAGTAAATAGGCTAAAGGAAGTTCCACCTGCTTAAAACCCACGCAGGCTTGTCAGTTGGCCTTTTCAAAAGTGTGCATCCGTGTCACTTGCGCCTTCAGAGATAGCTGATGTGTATTAAAAACAGGTCCTTAGTTTGGAAAGGCATGCAGTTATGGGCAAGGAAAAATAAAATGGGGGCAAATTATAAAAAATAAAATAAAGTCTCTGAAGTGATAGTGAAGACAGATTGCACCCGACTGTACTTACTTCCCCCTTGCTTTGCGATTGCTTTACATGATGAAGGTTACATGTAGTGCCATTGCCCATCCATGCCCATATTCATGCCCATTCCACTCATAGGTCCTAGAAGGGAGATAAAATCCAAGAAGAGGCCAGAAAATCAGCAATAAATTGATGGTGAAAAAATAGGAAATTCAGGTTCCTTTTCACTTATTGCCTTGGTTTAAAAAGAAAAAGGATGTGTATGGGGCAGAGTAAAATGGTACTGTGGTAAAAATCTTTTACTTTCTCAAAGAAGGTATTTTTCCCCCACCCGATGCAAAGAAAGCAGGCAGAGCAGGCAGCAGGCAAATGTTAAACCCACCTTGAGAGTGGGAGAGAAGAGTGGATGAAGAAGGCTGGTGGAGGTGACACTTGCCCAGGAAGCCCAGAGGAGAGCTGAGCACACCTACCTGCAGGCCGGATCCCCATGTGTTGCTGACCATCCAACACAAAGCTCCCCATGGGCTGACCCTCTGGACTATATGCTGCTCCTTGGCTCACTGAAGGATCAAGAAGAAAACCTGATTGTAGTCATTCGAGGACACAGAGGAGAAAGAAGAAAAGATATACCAAACAATCAGCAATTGTTCCCACTGCAGCACCGAAGTTACAGCAACAATGTGGTTGGCGCTTTACAAATGGGGGTGTGGTTTGAATGTGTGCCCTGATGGCCGAGGAAAGGTATGTGAGGCACTTCTGCAAATATTCAGGAGGCCAGGTCACAGGACTAAAGAAGACATTGGCCAGGGGAGCCGGGGAATAATCCTCTGGTCAGTGGACTTGGGGATACCCAATGTGTAAATATTGCATGGCACATTTTCTCTAGGATTTTAACTTGACCACCTGTGGTGGCTTAACAAAAGGTTCTCGTGTCATACTCAAATTTTCAACAGTGTTTAATTTTGTAAGATCAAAAAGGCTCAGTTGTACACTGGCTTTTTTATCCACACCAAAACATGTAAATGTGGTAAATACAATATTTATTTACGCTTCAGCATATTCCATGGCTTCCAATAGTAGAATGACATTTCAGTGTCGTTGGGGAAAGTCTTAAGGATGATTGATTCTCCTAAATTCTTTAAATGGAGGCCATGGTTAAAATGTTGGTCAAGTTTAGCACTCTTGCTATTGACAAGTTGTCACCATGAAAAAAGCAGTGTTTTCCTGCACGTCTTATTAAAGGGGACTACAACTCGTCCGTCAGCCGAGGAAATGCCCAATTCAAAGTAAAAGAATGAAGAATATTCTAGGGTGGTTCTGAGAGTACTGTCTAATAACTCTGAGACAGAGGGAGACACTGTGAGAAAACCCCACATGCATTTTGGCGGGATGGATGTGGAACATTCTAAACAAAGGTAATCTTTTAATAAAGTGCTGGGATGCAGCATGTCAGGCTTCGCTAGGATATGATGAATAGTCAGAAGCAAATGAATAGATACAATGAGTTGAACAGTGGATGCTACAGGAGTGAAAGCAAAGCACACACTAAGGAGTTGTGGGCAACGAGAAAATGAGTGTGCTAATGATTGGATGCAGACAAGCAAGGAGTAATTCCAGAGCTCACAAACTGCTTGTGGCACTAATACTTGTGCCCAATTACCATTTCAGAAAGAAAAGAAAAAGCAGTTTCAGTAGAGTCAGGGTGGGAAATCTCCAATTAGCACCAATTAGTGAAGTTGCTTCCTAGAGAAGAATTCTGAGGACATGAACAAGAAACTTCTCCCAGCATGCCTAGTGGAAGCACTTGTTCGCCAGATGGAACTCCTGATGTATAACTTGATAAGGGTTTGTGCCCTGTGAGATGGGACTATGGATACTGGCTGGGACTTGCCTGCTCGATTTGACTGGTCAATCATGGGCTGTACTATTCTTCTTCTGGCGTTAATAAACCTGGAATGGAACAGAGAAGTCCAGTCATCAAACTCAATTTCTGTCCTCTGTGAACACCTTTGTGTACACGCTGCGGAGAATGCAATACACTGAAACGTCTAGAGAAAATTAATCTTTTTCATTTAAAGACCTTTTTTTTTTTTTTTTTTTTTTTGCTTCCAGTGTTCAGAAATAGACTGGATCACCCTGCATTGTCTGCACATATAACTCCAAGTCAACCTGCTTTAATAAGGGGCGGGGGGAGCAGGGGCATTCAGGGAGGGAAGCAAGTTCTCCTTGAGGAAACTTGTGATAGTTTGTGACTGTGCTTCTGCTTCTCGAACAAGTAGGGATCTGGTTAAAGTTCAGAGGCTGGTGGACTTTTCCCCTTTCTCTCGATTCCCCCATCACAGGGAGACTCCGGCTTTCCCCTGCAGCTCGTCATAAATGGAGACCAGGCTCTGGCACTCGGCTTTCACAAGGTATTGTTGGGTCAGCAAAGCCATCAATTAGGCTGTCTGAAGTTTTATCACCAACACAGCAGTAATAAGTGCTGGCCAGAAAGAACTCCTGCTCTTCGGCAACTCCTGCAGTTTAAGCCTGTAAAGTTAGGGGTCATTCAGAGGTCAGTGCCAGCTGGGGGCAGCCTTTCCAGCCTAAGCAGGGACACCCAGGGCAGAGGATAAGGTAACTGCCAACCATAAACCCAGCCACCTTTCAACCCACTAGAAAGACAGAGCCTCAGGTACACATGGTTGATATTAGAGACCAAGAAACGATTTCAAATCAGGTGGTGGCTGACTCGCAGGAATGTAAAGGGAGAAGTAGTTATTTCATCTAAGAAGCCTGGATCTAATTTTGTTGGAAATCCAAAAATAAGTGCCTATTTCATGTTACTTTAATGTTTAATAATGCCCATCAAATATTCATGTACAAACAGAGTAAGATAAGAAATCTCCTTTATTTCTCCAAATTTAATAAAAAGAAAACAATTTTCTACTATTTGCAAGTTACCCTTGTCCCTGTGCATTTAGTGACGTTTATACACTACCCCCCCCGTGCTCCCCCCCACACACACACTGGAACTGAGGCACGGGAGTCCTCGGCTCTGTGGGAAGGGAGCACACAGCTCGCTATCCATACGAAGTACATCCATTGATAACATTTTCAATATTTCCAGTTTCAAATCGTTAAGCTCAGAGGACTTAATGATTAATGAATCTGTGGGGCCACAGGCAGGAACTAAAAACTCACTCTCTGAAATTATCCAGAAAAAAATTCTCCTGTGTGTTGGCAGTTCTGTGGTGTTACTTAGTTACCAAGCTGAAGTCCCTTCAAGGACCAGGAACCCTCACCGGCCTCCTGTGGGCATGCTGGTGGCAAGACAATTAGGCTTCGGAATAATAGCCACCAGAAAGCCAAAGGAGCCTTTTGCATATGGTATTTGTTTGCAAAACAATGAACTCCTTTATTACTTAAAGGATAGCTCAGTTGTCAAAAATGTTACACCACCCCCTCGGCGCTGGGGAAGAAAGTGACAGGCTACTACACAGAGGTGAGAACAAAAGGAGAGTTGAAACTGCATATTTATTCCCACTTGTCACCTGAAGTGTTACTGAGGAATATCTGACCCAATCACAAAGACTTGCAGAGGCATCCCTCAACTCGGAAAAAGAACTTAATTACCTACTGTTTCCCGCGGACCACTGACCTGGTCATTCCAGCCCCGGGAACTCATTTTATCAGCTCAGGTTAAGCACAGCAGAGATGCTTAAGAGTTAGAAGAGACTTTTCTCGAAGTTTCTGGGTGGAGGACACGCATGGCAGGGGTTTTGCCTTTTTTTTATGCTACTAAGATCAACTCTTTAGGTAGAATGAATTGCTAGTTTTTCCCTTTTTAATTTCTCCCTTTTACTTTTATTATTTACATCTGGAGGTTGTTCCCTTATTTATGTCTTTCTTTCCAGTTCCCCCAAAACACTCCCTTGCTCACAGAGCTGCAAGGCATCATGGTTCTTAGTTCTCAGCAGGAGAACTCCACACTGTCTTCAAACAAATAATTATGGAGAAGGTTAGAGGTTCACGCAAAGGTCATTTCTTTGGATACTCTTCAGAATGTTTACATTAGTAAAAAAAAAAAAAAAAACGGGGTCCGCTCAAAAGGTTGTTCAATGGGGGATACACAACAATACAGAACATTAAAAAAGCATTCTGTGTGCTAGCAGGTCTTTATAGAAGCGCTGAACTTGGAAATGCCATTCCAGTATTACATTTTCAGCAAGTTACCATGGCATGGACTGGATGTTCACTAGCAGTTATGGCAATGGCCTTTCTTTGCCCACTGCCCCTAATAGGAATAGAATCTTCTGAATATTTTCACTAGATTCTTACACAAAGGGTCATCAGAGATTTTCGTTTTTTTTTCACGGGCCGCATTTAGCTTCTCTGGATTTTTGTTCTCATTGTTTTGATCCATAGTCCTATGTTTCTTGCCAGATTCACAGTTCTACTACATTCTTTCAAATCACACAATTTTAAAAACATATGGGTCCCAATTTTTCAGAAATCTCCTAACATACAAGTCTTGCCAATTATCAACTCCTCTGATTTGGGGTATCTTATTAATACCATAATTATTGTTATTGAAATTAACAATTAAGGAGTTGACTATAACAAAACTTTGCCATTAAAAAATGAAATTACTACTTTACTGCTGTATCACAGGCTACCCTCAGAAAATGGAGCCATTTAAAATATAAATTAAATGAGCCCAGGAATAATGTTTAATATTCCCTAAGAGGATGCTCACATGCGTCATCTTCCCTCAAAATTACATGACACAATTTTTCCCACTTCCTCTGATCTATACGTCAAAAATGACCTTATCCAGCACTCAGGTAATAAACAGAATATTAAATTTTGATTCTACTTAAAATATGAAGAATCTGAGTTGAAAACCAACTCAAGTTTCAAGGTCTAAGTTCCATTCACATGGAAAAATGCAACTTGTTGGTTCAAAGACAAAAGATTCTGTCTCAAAGCTCAAAAGGTTTCTTGGATATTAAATGGGTCTTACAAAATAACATTTTGATGAGTTAAGTGTAAATGAATCAGACACATATGGATTAAGTTATCCTTGAATTTCACACGGGTTTCAAAAATAAGGGGAAAAGAGGGTCTTGGCAAAAAACATTTTGGACTTTGCCAAACCCAAAACATTTGAAAAATTGCTGAAGACATCCAACTAACCAACATGTAGCAAGCTGCACCCAACTTAAGTGAACGCTACCCCCCCCCCAGTTATTTCCACTCCAATGACTGCTGGGTTTTTCATCTGTATCTGATATTAAAAAATTCTCTAAGTTTTAATGTCATCCCAGAGTGACTTTGAAGTTGCAGACGTATAATATACTTCTCTACTGATATAAACAACCTAAGCTACAAAGTTTGCTTAGATATTAAATAGTTCTTGAGGAACATTTGGATTTTGTACAACTTGTATGTAAAACGTGACTGTAAGCCTACTATCTTATCCAGATTTCACTTAGAAAGAATTTTCATTAGCCTCATGGTGACTTTTTTTAAAGGCTACTCAGATAATTCCATTAGTTGCTCCTTGGGGATTGAGTACCCTAAAGTGCACTAGTTCCCATTGATTCGCATTGAATACAGTTACTCTCCAGAGATTTTGTGTGTGCCTGGATACATCTACAAAGTCTGTCCACTTTCTCTTTACATTTTATTTAAGGAGAAAATATTTGCATAAGTGAGCAGTAAAAATTGTATACCAAGACTGTTAGCTTAAAAGTAACCTAAATATAGAAATAAATCCAATGGCTTTTCAAGAGTCATAAGGCCTCTGAATCAACTTAGACATGAGAAAAGAATGCATGAAAGAGACTGAATCCAAGGTAGCAGATATCACTGAACTCTCATCTGACTATCCTGATGGATAGAGTGATGCTTCCTAGATCATGCCTTCTTGAATCTCCAGAAAATCCACACTTCTCAGTTTGGCATTCTGTAGCTGAAATCTGAGCACCGTGATTTCTCGAGACCTCACTCTAAAGCATAGTTCAGACTGACACAAGAGGACATAGGTGTCACTCGTTTTTGTTGGTTGGTCTTATTTTCTTTCTTTTCCTCCCCTCCCCTTTTAAAAGGCTGATAAATCCTCCCCTTCTGGTTCGCTAACTCCATGCACCACTGGGTAGCCAAGTCCTTTGAGCAGCATTGCTTTTTACTAGGAAGTGTACAGGTCTCCCTGGTGTCATCTTGCAAACTGCCTGCCCTAAACACTCAGAATCAAGAGTTTCTGGAACTGAAGTTCCAGAGCATGGGTGGTTTGGTCAACTTTGGCTTGATTTGTTGAGGAGGGAATTGCAACAATATGAAAAAGGTGATTGGGGACCTGTGAAATGAAAAAGTTCAGCTTCTCTATATACCACAGGGCTCCCTAGCCCAGGGACTTAGTTGGCATTTCAAACAAAGAAACTTCACCACTGACAAATCAGTGTTAAGCCAGTGAACTAAGCAGGTTTAATGCCTTTGAACATGTGCTTGGGCCCATAAATAAATGAGTCATGTTATAAACATTGAATGTCTTCTTGGACAACCGTGAGGTAACAGGTAAAGGGACAGATTCACAGAATACTTAAAAACACAATCACAGATTATAATTCCCCTGAGCTACAGCTCAATTTGTAATTTGATATTAGATTTATCTATCTCTAAAATAGTACCAAAATCCTAATAAATTTCTAATGTAAGAACATAAAATTAACCTGGAATCAGAAACATTTTGGAACTTTATGAATAAGCCTTAAGAAGCAAAAGGTTCATGCTAGTATGAAAACCCTGGGCAAAGTGATCAAATAGGTGGTTCTGATTGATGGCCTTCTATTTCATTCTTTCAGTATTCTTCTAAAGTTCTTCCCCAAAGTTACAAGTGCTCACGTAGGTTTTTGACCATGTCCTTCTAAATTACTGTTTCATATACTTCAGATTTACGCATGCAGCAA